TTCCTTCCGTGGGATTCCAGGGGGTTTGGCTAGATGACCTCCAGGGTACCTTCCATTCCGACCTCCATGGGATTCCTTTCCCTCCATGGGATTCCAGGGGGTTTGGCTAGATGACCTCTAGGGCCCCTTCCACCACCCCCTTCCCCGGGAACCCCTTTGATGGAGATTTTAAAGAAGAGATCAGGCAACCGTTTGTCTGGAATGATGTAGGGTCTCCCCCTTCAGCAAGGGGGTTGGGCTAGATGACCTTCAGGGTCACTTCCATCTCCCTTCCCTGGGACTCCTTTGAGCCAGGGGGTTGGGCTAGATGACCTCTAGGGTCCCTCCCCTCCCCCCTCCCTTCCCTGGGAATCCCTTGGATGGAGGATTTTAAGAAGGGATCGGGCAACCATTTGTCCGGAACGGTGTAGGGTTCTTGAGCCAGGGGGTTGGGCTAGATGACCTCTAGTGCCTTTTCCAACTCTGTTCTTCTGTTCAAATTTGAGATAAGCCAAAGAGCCAGAATAAAAATTGGGGTGGCCAGAAAGAACACGCAAGGCTGCCCGAAGGAGAAGGCAGGAGCTGTCCTAGGATCTCAGGGAAGGGGCTTCCAGGCCGTCCTCCGCTTCATTTAGTGACCGTTCCAAGTTGCAACCCAGCTGACAAGAAGTGGCTCGGGACTGTCTTTCACCCTTAACAGCCGTCGCCGCGACCCTGCCCCCCCCCTGCAGTCACGGGATCAAAAAACCCCACTGACTCATACTTATGACGGTCGTGGCGTCAACACGATCCCCTTTTACGACCAATGAGCCAACAGGGGAAGCCGGGATCGCTTAAAAACGACGGCGAAGATTCTCCGCGGCGGGAAAGGCGGTCAAAGGGGGCCGGGGGGGGGAAGGGGGCTTCCTAAAACGTCTTGCTTAGCAACGGAAATGTTGGGTCGTAAAGTCGAGGACGGCCTCTATGAGGGGGTCTCATAGGAAAAGTGGACGCCATCTTGGTGGGAGGGGCCATGGCTGTTCCCGGACACTCCGCCCCCCCCCCAAAAAAGAGGCAGATTTTCTTCACCTGTTGAACTGCGGCTGACTTTTCACCCGATTCCTTTCTCGGCCTTAGGAGTCTGGGGGTGCATTTCTCCAAAGTGAGGTCCCTCACGCTGGACGCCTGGGAGCCGGAGCTGGTGAAGGTGTGGGGGGGGGAGAGAAGTTGGGGGGGGTGCTGGGGGGGGAGGGGGCCAAGAGGGGCCAGCGAGCCTTTGAGTTAAAAGGGAGCGAGGTTCGAATCCGGGGCGGCAGAGGGATCTGGATCGGGGGGGGGGGGCACATGCTGAAAGTTTGGGGCACAGATCTGATGCGTGTAGTGTTTTGAGCGAGGGAGGAAGGGAGGAGAGGAGAAGGAACAAGGGGAGGAGGAAAGGAAGAAGGGAGGGAGAGAAGGATGGAAAGGGGGAAGGAGGAGAGAATGAACAGCGGGAGGGGGAAGGAAGGAAGGAGAGGGAGAGGAAAGAAAGGAGAGGAAGAAAAGGAGGGAGGGAGGAGAGTGGAAAAGAAAGGGAAGGAGGAGAGAATGAACAGCGGGAGGGGGGAGGAAGGAAGGAGAGGGAGGGAGGGGAAAGAAAGGAGAGGAAGAAAAGGAGGGAGGGAGGAGAGAACGAGGAACAAGGGGAGGAGGAAAGGAAGGAGAAGAAGGAAGGAAGGAGAGAGGAAGGGAGGAAGGAGGAAAGAAGGAGGCAGAGGGGGAGAGAGGAAGGAATAGGAGAGAACAGGAATGGTTAGGAGGGAGAAGAAGGAGGAGAGGAAGAAAGAGGGAGGGGAGAATGAGGAACAACAGGAAGGAAGGAAGGAAGGAAGGAAGAAAGGAGAGAGGAAGAAAGAGGGAGGGAGGGAGAAAGAGAGGGAGGGAGGCAGAGAGGGAGGGGGGACCAAGGAAGGAAAGGAAGGAAGCTAGGAGAGAACGAGGGAAGGGAGGGAGGAGAAAAGGGAGGAGAGAATGACGAACAAGGGGAGGAAGGAAGGAGAGGGAGGGAATTGAAGGAAGGAGAGAGAGAGGAAGGGAGGAAAAAGATCGAAGAAACGGAGGGAGGGAGGAAAGGGATCAAGGAAGGAGGGAGGGAGGGAGGGAGGGAAGGAGAATAAAAGAGAGGGAGGGGCAAAGGGAGGGGGGAAGAGAGCCGGAGTTTACAGTATTTGGGGGGGGGGGGAGAGACAGCTGTCAAATTCCTGCCAGACACCTTAGCCTCCCCTTTACTCCTCCACTACTCCTCCCCTACTACGTGGAGGTAGGACCCCCGTAGCGGATGCTGAAATGAAGCCCCACCCCCGCCCCGCCCTGAGCCCCTCCCTTGTCGCCCGCAGCTGATGACCGTCTTGGGGAACCAAGTGATTAACCAGATCTATGAGGCCAGGGTGGAGGAAATGAACATGAAACGCCCCCAACCAGGAAGTCCCAGGTAAGAACCCCCACCCGCCCCCATTCTATCAAAATCCCCCCCTTCCCAAAGTTGTCAATCAAGATTCTCCATCACCCAGGCAGTATTCTGCAACTTTGAGTGATGGCAAACTTACGGTGTTTTTTTCCCCTTTTTAATCTGTTTCTGCGCCTGCCCTCCAGGGGGCGCAGCTGCCCCGAAGGGCTGCAGTTACAAGCCTTGGCCTATAGATGGCGAGGTGGGACACCACACGTCCACCTGTCTGTCCCTCCTCCCTCCAGGGGGTTTCCAGGTGCCTTGTCCAATTCGGCAAAAGCATGCAGGGTCCCCCACACTTGGCAACTTTAAGACTTGTGGACTTCAACTCCCAGAATTCCCCATTCAGCTACTCTGCTTCCCTCCCCTATTCCCTAGAGTGGAGAGATTGCAGAGGAAGGGATGACAAGAGAGGAAGCAGGCGGATTGCAGAGGAAGGGATGAGAAGAGAGGAAGCAGGCAGATTGCAGAGGAAGGGATGAGAAGAGATTAAAGCAGGCGGATTGCAGAGGAAGGGATGACAAGAGAGGGAGCAGGCAGATTGCAGAGGAAGGGATGACAAGAGAGGGAGCAGGCGGATTACAGAGGAAGGGATGACAAGAGAGGAAGCAGGCGGATTGCAGAGGAAGGGATGACAAGAGAGTAAGCAGGCGGATTGCAGAGGAAGGGATGACAAGAGAGGAAGCAGGCAGAATGCAGAGGAAGGGATGACAAGAGAGGGAGCAGGCAGAATGCAGAGGAAGGGATGACAAGAGAGGAAGCAGGCGGATTGCAGAGGAAGGGATGACAAGAGAGGAAGCAGGCAGATTGCAGAGGAAGGGATTGCAAGAGAGTAAGCAGGCAGATTGCAGAGGAAGGGATGACAAGAGAGTTAGCAGAAGGCAGATTGCAGAGGAAGGGATGACAAGAGAGGAAGCAGGCAGATTGCAGAGGAAGGGATGACAAGAGAGGAAGCAGGCGGAATGCAGAGGAAGGGATTGCAAGAGAGTAAGCAGGCAGATTGCAGAGGAAGGGATTGCAAGAGAGTAAGCAGGCAGATTGCAGAGGAAGGGATGACAAGAGAGGAAGCAGGCAGAATGCAGAGGAAGGGATGAGGAGAGAAAGCAGGCAGAATGCAGAGGAAGGGATGACAAGAGAGGAAGCAGGCGGATTGCAGAGGAAGGGATTGCAAGAGAGGAAGCAGGCATAGAGTTGAAGTCTAGCGAAGCCGGCTGGGGAATTCTGGGAGTCCTCCAGGCTTAAAGGGGCCAAGATTGGAGACCCCCTGCCGTAAACCTCACGTC